CCACACACGCTTAGAACTGACTGTACGGCAGTCTGTTTTCAGAAATGTATCGAACTGTTGCCTACCATATAAATTACTCCAAATTATAGCTGATGAAAGTTGTCCGATTAAAGACGTTAATTTTTTTTTTCATACGACATCCATCCATTAAATGTGACAATACAGTAATACTTTCAAATTGTTTTATATTTCTATTTTCTGATGGGTAGAACTTATTTACTTTGAGTCTAAAGGTCACTCAGTTACCCTCATCAACACGTTCGTCTTAATGCGCAGTATAAACAAAAGCACGTGACTCCAAACGTTCATTGTGTATTATTTCCCAAGAGCAGCATATATAGCTAGATTCCGCTTAGATATTTATTCAGATTTTGTCATAAATTAGTACAAAACCCGATGACCTTTATATAGTGACAAAACCTGATGACCTTTATCTAGAGTGAGTAGTAATACTTGTACTTGATGAATACAGTGTTTTGAATCTGCTCACTAAATTGCAAGGCTGTATGGTTATTAAGAAGACAAGATAAGAATTCTTTATTTCAGACTACATAGTCCATACATCTAAATTAAAATACGGATATAGAGTTAAATATTGTAAACATAAAAGAATATATATATATATATATATATATATATATATATATATATATATATCATATGTACAAGTATTTAGATACATTTACAACAATTATTTGCGCCCTGTATTGTTAAAAAATGAAGTGAAGTGACACATTTAAATAGTAATTGGTTCCATCTACTTACAATGTAAAAATTTAAATGAATGACATAGTTCCAAAGTGATTTCAATATACAGTTCTCACTATTAGATAGTCTTGTTATCATTAAATATACATACTTTCTCATTACTTCCTCAAAACTGAATACATTATAATTTACAAACATGTTAGAGGCACTGTTCCATCTAGGAAGACCTAACAGGAAGCGATAACTATTATTATAACCAATTACAAGTTTTCTTTTCACATTTTCACTAAAGTTTGTACACAGTGGAGCACAATACATAGTGCAGCAATAAGATTTGAATAATCTAATTTTGATTTTCAATGAACAAGGCTTAAATTTGCGTAGAAGCATGTTTGTTCGAGTACACAAATATCGATAATGTCTCATCATATCTTCATTATCTGACTGATTGGATTTCAAAATATGGTCCAAAAACATATAACTGTCGACATACGTAAGAGCATTGCCATTAAGATGTACAGAGGGAGGTGATGATAATTTAAAAGATGTTGGCTGAAGGACCATGCATACTGATTTTTGTGTATTATAGATGATATCATTCTCTAATGGATATTGTTCACATATCTTCGATAATTTTCTTAAACCTGCGACAGACGGACTTATCAGTGACATATTATTAGCAAAGCTAAAATTGTTAAGAAACTGCCCATTTGATGGCAGACGTAACCCTACGTTACAATGACCCAATATACGATTTAACTTGTCAATGCAAATATTAAATAACATAGGGGAAATAATACCTCCCTGCCTCATCCCATTGGTTACATGGAAAGCGCTGGATATTACACTTCCCCATCGCACGTAATACAACTGTTTGCCATACCAGTTGACTAAAGTATGAACAATGTATACAGGAATTTTAATTTCCAGCAACTTTTTAAAGAGTGTCCAATGATTGTCCCTATCAAATGCCTTACTAGCGTCTAAAAAGCATGCAAATACTGGGCTGCCATGTTCCACATAATAGCTAACGGTTTCCTTAAAGGCATAAAGACATAAATCTGTATAATGCTGCTTTTTAAATCCAAACTGATTATCGGAGATTATGACTTCGCATCTTTGTAGTATGATGCATTCGAATATTTTTGAGATAATAGTAATAAGAGCTATAGGTCTGTAGTTATTTTTGTCCGCTAGATTACCAATTTTTCTTTTTAGTAGCGGTATAATTGTAACTTTTGTGAAATCATCTGGTACAAAGTTATGCACAAACATACAATTAAATAAAACCATTAATAGCCCATGAAGTCTAGTATCTGAATATTTAAAATGTTCCACATATTTAAAAAAATCTGATCCTGGACATTTACCACCTTTTTGTCATGTTATTGCGTTTTTGATCTCAGATAATGTGATTACCTCAATATGAGCAGAAGGGGTATTCAATGCTTAAGTAACACGCTTCTTATTCGATTCGTTTTTGACACTATTGAGTAAGTCTTCAAAATGATTTTTCCATATGTTGCATATATTATTTTGACCATGGTACCCATCAATGCAGATTGGTAGTTTATTGGAAGTTGTCGTAATACTTTGTTTAACTTGCTTCCAGAATTCACGTTGGTCCACATTTTCAAATTTTTGTGCTAGTGAGTCTGCTCTGTTTTACTTCGTTATTCTTGCATGACCTAAGAGCATACTTAAATTGTGCTCTTGTTTGGCGCATTCGGTTACTTAATTGTCCATTACGATGCTTACCGTTATCACGCCACATTGGGTAAGCATTTCGTGCAAAGTCGTGTAGTTCTTTGACACAGTCATTCCAGCCTGGTATAACCCGGTGGCCACGTTTGGATTTTCTAGTCAATTTATTACTGGATTTCGATAGAGCTTTCACTACATCAGCGTATAGCTCATATATCTGTTTCATATGTACCTGATTAGTGCATCCATTGTCATTACAGATGGCATCACTGGGTGGGATCTCAATCTTGTATTTTAATTTAGCTGGAAAATTTTGGGTGAGAAAAATAATGTGTCAGTGTTTGTACCAAGACAAGGAAATCCCAGTCTTAGGGTTACATTATTTGTCTCCCCACTCGGCTCGGTATGGCTTCATGAAGAATCCAAATCTTGGTCCAACCCGAAACAGATTCTACATATCAGTTACTTAATTACATGAAGTATATCTGGATGAGACAAAACACATTTTTATATTGATTTTAGTAGTGAATAGGATAACTCTTGCAAATCTATGAGATTAATCTAATTTTTACAAATCCCTCAACTCACCGCCTTGAACGTCGGGATGTAGTAACAAATATGGTGCAAAATAAATTCATTGTTATTTAAGTCACACTTACATGGACAGGTCACGATGCATCAGGTTCCTATCGTAACTGGATTCCCGTGTACATACGCGTGCATTTGGGTCAGGGATAGCCTTGCCTTCACTCGCAACGACTCACCGGTACGCCACTACTAAAATCGTTTCTATTTGAAGTAAATTAAATGTAAATTTTGATAATTATAACATTGATTTTCCACTTAGCCCAAGCTTCTGCTTCGTTGTTCCCATTGTTTGCATATTAACTGCATAAGAATTGTATATTATTGGATTTCAATTTTATTTTAATTTCTTCTTTTAAATGTCGCAAAGCAGAAAATAAATATTTTAAAAATATATAATGTATAATGCAAACCCCATTATAAAAGGAAAATTGATACTAAAATATTATCATTATTGGCAAGCAGCATTCGGATTGTTTCTCGGTGAGTAATAGAAAGCTTGTTAGTAGCTTACAGTGGGTTGACAGTTCTTCTCGGGGGGTCTTCCCAGATTCTTCTTCCGGCAATTATACTGGACACCATGTATGATCTATCTTTCCTTTTCTTTGCACATGAGTGTCTTATGAACTCGTTTTAAAAAATGATGTAAAATCGTAAATTTCTTGAGAGGAACACATAAAAAGCTAAAAACAGAATCGCTCGAGACAAAAAAAAAAGGAGAGAGACCAAGCCTAAAAATTAATTGGCAATTATTAAACCAACCTTGACGTTTTTTTTGACTGTTCCTGATTCTTACTTGCAATCTTGACTTGCATTTCGATGGTATTAACCAGATTCTCTTTTTTTAAAAAAGAAATTAATTGTAATCATTAAAGATGTATCCAATCGCAAAAAAAAGTGAAAAGAAGGAAAATAAACGAAGAGAAACGTAATGATTTGGAAATATTACGCATGACAACTTAAGTAGAATATTTCACACGACAGCTATCTCCAGACAAAGAAAATACATATTTATCTCCCTTGGTCATGTGATCATTACGAGACCCCCGCGGCTGCTCTGTACGCAATAATTCAAACATATAAAACAGAAATAATCAGTGTGATGAGAACTCAGAAGTGAATCAGGCTCAAATGTCATTAATTGCTCAAATTATCTTCTCAGAATGAGCTTTACCTTCACGATACATCTGAAAATATCAGGGTTTCAATATCAGTTGGAAATAATAAAACTATCTCTGTCTTTACACATTTACACTTTGGAATCATTCTGTTCTTCATCACACAAAAAATACGTTCAGTGATTCATCAAGTTTTAGTTTCCCCAGAGAAAACAAGAAATCATAATATCCAAGACATTGAACGTGTATTTAAATCTTTGATGCATGCCAAATAGTCAGTGAAACATTCATTGTTGCTAAATTTTTAAAAGTAGCTTTTAATAATAAATTCCAAGCTAAAAAGGCAAATCTGAGGCACTTTGCGAAGTTTGAATCGATTTTAGAAGCGGTCATTAGTGTAATGTAAAGTTTAATAACGATGTGGATTAGATAAAATTGTAGGTCATCCAACCACTGTGAAGTAATTTGATTCGTTTTCCTTTCACTTTGATGTGAGCTAAAGACCTAGCTGCATCAGAGAACTTTTGAAGATAAGGACTTGAATAATGGTAGCATTAATCTAGGTTGAGGAGGCAGAAACCGAGGCGTTTATATAGTAATAACCTACCGAGCAGACGACACTGGTCCTTGTTTAGAAACCGCCCCGATGGCCTAGTGGTTAGAGCGTCCGCCTCGGATGCGGGAGGTCGTGGGTTCGATCCCCGGTCGAGTCATACCAAAGACTTACAAACATGGTACTAACAGCTGCCTCGCTTGACGCTCAGCATTAAGGGGTTAGTGTTAGGACTGGTTGGACTGGTGTCAGGATGATGTAACTGGGTGGGACATCATGCTTCATCTCTGCGGCATGATGCCCCAGTGCTAGACATCACTATAAACTTACATTATCCGGTGGCCTAGTGGTTAGAGCGTCCGCCTCGGATGTGGGATGTCATGGGTTTAATCCCAGGTCGAGTCATACCAAAATATGATACTAACAGCTGCCTTGCTTGACAGTGTTAGGACTGGTCGGCCTGGTGTCAGGATAATGTGACTGGGTGGGACATCATGCTACATGTCTGAGGCATGATGCCCCAGTGCTAGACATCACTATAAATTGCCACACTGCAGACATCGTAGCGATATGACTGAAAAATTGTTAAAGCTACGTTAAAAATTATAAACACCAACACCTAGAAAGGGAACAGCAGGGAACAAAGCTAAAATCAATAAACTTATGGAAAGCAGGGGCTTTACCAGTGATAATTTCCTTTTCAGTCAGTGACTGCAGAGTGGTGTATTCTAAAACTTAGTAGTCTCTCATTTTATTCTTCACAAATAGTTGGTTGAAAATGGTGTTTAGAAAGTGCTTTGTTGTAAGATTTACAATCAATCGTTCAGATTTGAAGAACCACGTATAAATTTTGACCGAAATGTCATTTTATCATTGATTCATTCATTGACCATTAAATTACCTATTTTCCTCCTCAAATGATGAAATTATATATATATATATATATATATATATATATATATATATATATATATATATATATATATATATATATATATATATATATATATATATATATATATATATATACAGAGAGAGAGAGAGAGATTTGCGCTTTTATTATAAATAATAATTATTAGAAAGAATAATTTAGTTCCCTTCATCTCCAGGAAAGGACTAATTTTCTGAGAAGTCTCGTTAAAGAGTACTGAGCATTAAATTGGCTAATTCAAGGACATGTAACCATGGATATATAATTATATATAATGAGCCAGCATCTTTTTTAAATTACGGGATTGTAACTTAAAACATGGATGCGATTTATCAGCCTGTCCCTACATGAATAACAAAGTGTTTTACACAGTCGTATTGAAGAATATTCAAGGACAGTTGTCATGCAACTGTAGAAATGCCGTCATTAATCATTTCTTTTATGACAGATGAAGGCTACATAATGTAATTAAAGCCGTCTTGTATTAGCAAAGGAGTATCCACAGTAAATGTAAAGGCAAAACAAATGGTAGTCTCCGTTTCTTCCTCTCTTGGATGGATTAGGTCACTATTCGGTGTGATCTTGATTGATAAAAATAGCTGAATTCTTAATAATAAATAATTTTTGTGTATCTGACTTTTATGTTTCCTGATAATTGGTGTAATTTGGAATGGTTCTATAACTGCTGCCTCCTGATAATCCAATGTTGAGTTCAGTGTAAATGAGAAATCTTGTTCGAATATCGATAGTTCCAACCGAAGAGGCACTGCTTTTACCAATCTGTGGTAACAACAGAGAGGCAGTGTTCCTAGATGATCGCGATAGTCTGGTAGCTCAAACCGAGAATAATCTGGTAGCTCAGACCGAGAGTAATCATAAGTTGTTTTTTTTTTTTTGCTTTTTTATCAAAGGTATAAATATGAAAAATCTTCATTTGAATTCATTTAAGGTTTTGGGCATTTCTGGTTTTATATGATGTGTTTGTGTTTGTGTGTGTGATTTAGATTTTTAACGTAACTTTTAACAATATTTAAGTCATATTGCTACTGTCTGCAATGTGGTAGTTTATAGTGACGTCAAGCACTGCGACATCATGCGTCAGTCATGTGTCGTTATGTCCCACCCAATCATATTATCCTAATATCAGGCTGACCAGTGATAATACTAGCCTCTTAATTCCGAGTGCCTAGCGAGGCAGCTGCTAGTACCATTTGTTTTAAAACAAGTATTTAGTATGAATCGGCCGGGGTTCGAATCCGTGAGTTAACATATCTGAGGCGGACGTTTAAATCACTTAGGCTACCTGAGCGGTGGTTTTATATGGAAGTATACAAAACTGAGGCCAATCCCTTTTTTCCCCATGTTATTTCATGAGCATTCTATTTCTTTGTAGACGTTGGGTTTTAGTCAGTTTCAATTAAGTTTATATAAAACTTTTACAACCTGTTTATTTTTAATGATAGTGTTTAGCCCACGATTTTGAAAATGTTGCTGTAAACTGCAATCATAATAAAAAGCTAAATTTCTTTTGTATAATATTTTATTGCGGTTAGTATGTTGGAAATTCCAGCAAGTCTGATGGAGAATTTACGTGATATACTTACGTATAATGTGTGCTTTATTCTAATTGCATCAGCATTAAATTATAACGAACCTGTGTTGCTTTGCCGTTAAGCAGCAAACCTGATCAAATCTAGACCATACTTATTTAAAACACAGTTCCTTTGCTTTGCTCCATGTCTCGAGATAGATTCTGTTTGTAAAGCAGATGACCACACAGTCACGTTGAAAATACTGGTGCCCAATAATTTCCAGATAAACTAATCACGTCTTGGACATGCATGTGACACATGTTACGCGTATGAGAATGTTTTACTTGTTATGACATGCACGTGACACACGTGACACGTTTTTGAGAATGCTTTACTTGCTGGGACATGCACGTGACACAGGTGGCAGGCATGAGAATGCTTTACTTGCTAAATTGAAGGTTTATATCAATAACTGTAACTGCCATATAAGGCAGTTACTACTTCTTACATTGAGATGGTTGAAAAAGTTATGGGCGAAAATTAAATTCCAGTCGAATTTATTTTCTGCGGAATCAATATACACAGACAGAGTGATTGGGTTGTCGGTTAGTTTTAAGAGTTCTTTATATTAAAATTCTGATTGAATACTTTTGATAATATAATGCGTGTTTTTAAAGTGGACGGCTATGCAAGTTAAGTCGCCTAATAAGACTTGTAAATGTCACAACAGTTCAATAATTACTTTCCCATGTCTTAGATCTGCTACTTTTGCTAATGAAAAAAATATGGTTGATTTTATGGCTTTGCAGAATGTATTTTTCTATTTAAAATTTAAAGATAAAAATCTTCTAATTTTAAACACCTTTTTCACAATATATGATGTTTATATGCAGTGCCGGATTACAAAATAGGCAGAGTAAGCACCGGTCTATGGGCTCCACGCCTTTAGGGTTGATAAAATTAAAAACGTATTGGGTGATAATTTGCGAGGAGGGGGGCAGACATTTCGACTGCCTAGGGGCCGCCACAGAGTATAATCCGGAACTCTTCATATATATGATGGACTTTGCCATGACATATATATTTTAACTCTAAACAATTATTATTAGCCTGCCATTAATGTTTTAATTAATTCTGTTTTCTATTTCACCAGTCAATCAAGGAATACTCAAGGAAATGGACGACCAAATACACGTACACTGATATACACAATAATGAATTAATTACATAATGGACAACCAAACACACATAGACGTAGACTGATAGGCACAATAATGAATTAATGAATTATATAATGAACAAACGAACAAACAATAAAAGAATGACGGAAAAGAAAAACGAACTGAAGAATTACGAAATGTATAGATTTACACGCGATCAAGAATAAAATGATAAATAATCAATACAAGAAAGCAAGATTATAAGATAAAAAAAATATCTTGCTTGATTCACAAAATAACACTTTATTTAAAAATTCTGTCATTTTGACTATAGTGAAACATGGAAAGGAAATACGGTTGTATAGGTGTAAATTACGACAATTAACATGTGCTACTTTGAAAAAAAGGGCTTTAATTAACATTTTCATTAGACAGAGCAATACAAGAAGTACCTACTTTGTCCGTGGAAATTAGGTTTGCACAATATACACTATCAACATAGTCGACAAGCCACTAGTCTCCCTTAACTAAGACAATTAAAGACAATAAAAAGTCTTTATTGCATTGAATCTGCTACAGCTGATTTTTATTTATTCACTATGCGTTCTTCATACATATTGATTTAAGCAGAACAGCACAATTTAACCTAGGTCATCGACAATACTCAAGTAGCAAGACATAAAAACGTTTTGGTTGAAGATACATTCAGTAAATCAAACTTTGTATATCTGACATAAATTTTGATGAAACATATTTGCTATTATTCTTTCTGTATTAAGTAAAATAGTTTTAATTTTGAAAGATACGCTTAAGACGGTGCTGTGTACATTATTCTCTACTAAAAATGTCTCTATGGCTACGGAGTAAGTGATGTGTTTGTCCTCTCCAGTGAACTCTCGCAAGTTCTCGCGTCCCTTGGAGAACACTAAGCGTGAAAATTCTTTATTTGCTTCTCCCTACGTGATCAATTACAAAATTTATTCAAATGATTCATCAACATTTACAAAAGGATGTCTTCATTTTTAGTACAGGATAAACAATTACTTACACTGCATGCGTTATTCTGCTGCTTGAGGACAGCTGACATCACAAAATCACGCGCGTCTTGGAAAACGGTAATATTTAATTTTTACCTTTTCCTTTTGACTCCATGAACAAACAGTACATACTGTTTACACCACAATGAATGTATTCAACATGATCCTGCAGTCGGATATTATCCCAAAATCCTATTCTCCCTAAGAATGTAGGTAAATGAGTTATACATCAGTGACAGGGTCTATAAGGTTAGCAGATCTTCTTCTCCATCAAACTACTCTGCGTGCAGGTGTGTAACACGCACACACATTAAGTGCACCATCTGTCCTAACAACAATTTGGATGAGAACAATTAACAACAGAACCACTTAGAGTTTGTTTATCTCGTATAGCCATCTGATGCTACTTGAGACTAGGTGATAGTTAAATTACGCCAGGTCTCATTATTTGCCGGATTTTTTTTTCCTTTACGAATTTGGAAATCATTAAAAGCACTCTTAATATTCATAATAAAAAAAACTTTAAATATGTTATAAATATGATGACGAAACTTATTGATAATTAGCCTGTCCTTTTTCCAACGCCTTATCTTTGCGGTTATTATTATTATTATTATTATTATTATTATTATTATTATTATTATTATTATTATTATTATTATTATTATTATTATTACCCGAGTCAAACTTAATACTTAAGGCTCATATACGTCACAACTCAAAGCCGCAATGCAAATTAGTGAAAGTTTCTCTTTAAAAAAATGTGTTTTGAAGATGAAAGTCAAATACGGAAAGCATATGAAGTGGATTTGTGTGCCCGCAACTGCATTACTTCGTGGCAGCTGCAGATCTCGACAGCGTCCTATTCACTCTTATGCTTTGGCCTTCTCGATTGAAATGAGATTTATTTCCATTTTGCTTTAACATTTTTATTTAATACCAGAGCTAAAATGCAGCTTCTGCGAACAATCTTTTGATATGATGATGCAGAGAAGAAAATCTCAGTATTTAAAATATTTTTAGTGTAATTTAAGAGTCTTAAAAGGTAAAGCTATTGTGATGAATGCAATCAGGCGTATTTTATATGCAAATAACATAGTGGCAAATGGACTGCTTTGTCTCCGTTTTGTCTTGTACTGAACATACATACACTTCTGTTACTGGAATACTGATTTCTTTTTAAGCATATATCTCAAATTTGTGATTTTTTTCTTAAATAATATTGTTTAAATTTTACTTTTATTTTCTTTTTATAAGTTGACATGACATTGAAAGAGCACCAACTGTGACAAAGAAAAACATTTTAGGAACAGACCTCTCCGGTAGCATAGTGGTTAAAGCGTCCACCTCTGATGCAGGAGGTCGCAGGTTCGAATCCCGGCCGAGTCATACTAAAGACTGATAAAAATTATATTATCAACTGCCTCGCTAGGCGTTCAGCATTAAGAGGTTAGTCCTAGTAATGGTCGGCCTGGTGTCAGGATAACGTGACTGGGTGGGACATGATACTTCAGTTTTGCGGCACGAAATCCCAAGTGCTTGACATCACTATAAACTGCTACACTGCAGACATCGTAGCAATGTGACTGAAATTCTCTCTCTCTCTCTCTCTCTCTCTCTCTCTCTCTCTCTCTCTCTCTCTCTCTCTCTCTCTCTCTCTCTCTCTCTCTCTCTCGCACACACACACATACACACACACGGAACACCAGTTAAAAATGTGGCAGCAATATTTCATTATCTCTCAGTGCTTTATAAACTCAAATACATGTATATGTACCTGGTAAATTGGTAATATAGTTGTTCACGGCATCAGTCTATTAGTACTGTTTAGTACATAGCAGTAGTCTCTTTCAATCAGATCTCTCGCGAGGCCTAGTGATATTTTCGCCATATGTGAAGCAACATAGAGAAAATATTAACTGGAAAGCGCGCCAAGTAGTGACGAAGGGGTTGTGACGGCAAGTAGAGGAGGAGGCCATTTTCATTTTTGAAACGCCAAGGGTCGGCATCTAGTGGCAGTACGAAATAAACAACGAACACAGGGTATTAATTATACGGAAAAATGGGAACCAGCCTGGAAATGGGTGAATATAATATAGTGTATATATGGATTGGCTGGCCAGGATTGGTAAATAATGAAAGTTATGTTTAAGGAAAAAGAATCTTGAGAGCTTATCCTTGTTGTAAGTGAAAAAAAAAGACAGTGTTTTCTTGACGGAATTTCAGTCCTTTAACAGTCTTGAGATTGGAACACTCGTTACTAAAATTAGCACCTGATTCTTTGGTACGGAATTGAAAGAACACGTTTTAAACAAATCAGTTCTATGCTTATATTCTTTTCTCTACACATAAGCTGACGTCCAGGTTTCATCTATACTGATGAATATAGATTTGATCATGATTTTTAATATCATGGCGTTTGAATAGGGTTACTGTGGGAACTGAAATTAGTACCGTGAGTCCTAAAGCGCTCAGTTTTTGAGAAGCCTGTAATAAGGCATGACCCATGTGGTGTCTTGTTGCTTGCAGTGCACTTACAAATGAAGGGGAGGGGCCAAGGAAGGACATGTATCTTATCGTCGTACATTTGGTACCAATGTCTAGCCCATGCATTCGACTTTGTATGTCTACACAAAAATTCTCCTGCCATATCTTTAAAGACTGCCATCTCACCTCTGCGTGAGTTCGAGTCTAGGATTCGGCGAATTTGGATATGTTAGAAAGCTTGCCAGTAGCTTCTCGTGAGTCAGTGGTTCTTTCCGTGTATTTCCCGGTTTCTTCCTACGCCATTACTACTGGTTGCCATGTAAAGCATATCGTGTGCTGAAAAATGAAGTTAAGCCCCACAACAACGACAATACCTTTAAAGAATACTTGACATTGTCATGATCTCCCTATCGTAATAATCAAGTGTGACGTGCTGAATGGAATACTGGCTTTTCATCGATCGACCGAAATGATGTACCGCATCTACTGATTTCCATTAAACTAATAAAGGGGGAGGGGGCAATATTCCATTCAGCTTGTTGCACGATACGAGCCCTTGTGGGTCGGGCCATTACGCTCGCGGGTCTGTGTCCACAAAGCCTATGTCATGAGTCAGGTGTGTGTTTTATATGGGGGACAATATTTACGTCCCACAGTCGCAAATCGAGGTTTCGCATTTTATGTTACGCAATCTTTGCGTTTCCTCCATATGTGTCACCATACTTGCCAAGGTACAGAGAATTGTTTGGGATAATGGGAGGCAACGACAGATATGAAAACAGCAAGACAGAATATTGAGCAAGATGAGTACCATGACCCGGGGAGCCATAGTGGGCTCGCGTAGGCAAGGCTTGCCAACTGCGCATTTGCAGTAACTATCTTTTCGTAATCATTTCAGATATGTACTGTCAAGTAGTACATCAAAAAGAACAACACAAATTTGTACCAATATTAGGTCCATTCATTCGTTATGTAAAAGGTATGGTTTTTAAACGAACATTTTAATGTCCTTAGAACCTGAACATGTGTTTATGACTTCGATTTAGTACCGCGTTGTGTTGAGCACGCGCATATTATTTTATTTTCCAATATATTCCTTGCTTTGGTCTTGATTCAGCTGTAAAACATTTCCACACCAGGTCTGTGCACAGATTATTTTTCCATACTTGTCGTATCCAGTCATTCCGAAACACCTAATGCACTCTATGAGCTTCCTCCAGCAGTCCCATATTAGTAGTAGTATAGGTATTTTGAGATTTTTAACTCAAAGAAGGTTTTTTTTAAGTTCAGAGAACCCTCACCCCCTCAAAAATAAATTCTGACATTTTGTATCACCTCAGAGACCCCTCTCCCTCAAAAAAACCACCCTCCTCCAAATTTGTATCTCCAAAAATGATGAAATTTTGAAACCCAAACCTCTCCCCTCCCCAATATATTGATTATGCTGTCTCAAAACACCCACCACCACCACTTCGAAGTTTGAATATGATGATTCTGTCTTAAAATACCCCGATCCAAAACTTTTTATGTTAACATTTTGTCACAAATATGTTAGAAAAAAATATGTTCACTTACATGTTTTCGTGTATCTTCTAGCAGAGAATGGCCACGAAGAAAATTCTAACTGCCTTTTATATTGCTATTCTGAAACAATATTAGAAATTACTTATCTTTAACATTGATTCAATAACATTCTAGAGTAGGCATTATTTTAGGAACATCCATTGAAAATTACCTATCTTTTACCTTATAAAATTTCAAAAGTGATCACATGATTTAGCTATTATGGAATTATGGAAATTCCTTGCAGACACTAGGACAGCAGTCAGAATTTTCATTTGTGATCATTTTGCAAGAGAATTTACTCGTGGAAAGGTAAGTGAAATAATTTTTTATATATTTTCACAGAATGGGAAAGTAGTATATTAATGGGGTATGTTGACACTTTTATCTGTTTCCATAAATCAAGTATTTTGAACCTGATATCGTAAAAATGATGAACAGAAAAGTAAAAACATTGTTTGAGATTTTTTAGTTTTTTCCCTACTATTGCTATACTTTTTTGATAATCGTTTTCATATATGTTAACTCTAATTGGCAGAATATCGGTTAACATACTGTCAATAATACGAAACTCTCATATTGGATCGTCCATATCATATTTTATACCAGATTATTAACATTGTATCTATCAAGTAATTTTTGTTAGGAGACTTGCTTTTTACAAGCATTTTTTAGTTGCAAGTCGAAGCTCAATTTTTTTTACCAGCTGTTGCAAGAGAAACACCAACACTGGATATTATTAACAAAAACAGATTTAATGATGCTTCAGTTGGTTGGTGAAACATAAACATGAAAACAAACTTCCAGATTATCATTATCTTACTATTGGAAGAACTGGATCTGGGAAAACAAACTTGCTTATGAATTTACTTCTCGGAGATAATTTTAATTACAATCGCGTTTATATTTACACAATTAATCCAAAACAGGACAAATAAGAGCTGCTTAACAATTAAAATGACAAACTTCGTGATAATCTTGAGGCTGGAGACAATTTTTTATCATCAAACAACCAGAACAACTTATTCCAGTTAATCAACTTGATTCGTTCGAGCATAAGATAGTTGTTTTTAACTTTATTCCGATAAACAACGAGGAAATGAATAAAATATGATGATATTTTTCATTATCACGTAATAAAAAAAATCTAATTTTATTTTTCTCGCTTAAACTTTCTATAACGTTGACAGATTTATTAGGCGCAAAACTGGTTGTTTTATATCATTTATAGGACTTAACAGCTTTGACGTTAGCAATATCGCGAACGAACAATGTGGTAATGTAACAAATGATAAATTTATTGAATTATATCATATCAGCAGAAAATAAATATGACTTTTTATTTGATAAACTCACAAATGTTTTGTTGCTGTATTGAAAAATATATACAGTAACTTTTATAGAAAATGGTATATAATCAAAGGAAACACAAGCAATGAACAGAAAACATAGAAAATCTAAAGTAACTTGCTAAATCTAAATCTGAACTTAGGCAGATGATCCAACAAGTACGACGTGGTCAAATAGGTTCAAGAGAAACAGCAGTAGCAATTCTCAAACCAGTTACTGAAGCTATACTTGGAAAACAACCTAAAATTAAACCACTATCAGAAGAAGACTTTAAAAAAGTACAAGAAAAAGGTTTACTATGATTAATCATGGAAAGATCTGATGAAGAAAAAAGATTAGCCGAGGGATTTACAGCAAATATAGCTAATCCTGTTGCAATGCAAGCTGAAATAGATCGGTTGATAAATAATGCACTGGAACGTCAACAACGATTAGTAGCAGTAGCAGTATTTAGACTAATTGAAAGGTAAGAAGAAAAAGAACTTAGAAGAGAGAGAAACATTGAAGAACAAAGAAAATATTTGAACATGATTAGAAAATATAAATAGCAAAATAAGAGATGACGACTATAGAAATTTTAATAAAATATGAGAACTTTGAGGGTGTGAAAAAACACAATGTTAACAAAGATAAATTTAGATCAGACGAAACAATAAAAGAGCTAGAAAAAAAATTAAAGAGAAGAGAAACGAGCATATCGACAAGGCAGTTTTAGAAACTAGAAATTTCTATGATAGCATTAAGTTATATCAACATGGAATTATTGTTGATCTTTTCATTAAGGCTATTAAAAATATTAAAAGTAACACATAAAGTCATCACAATAATAGTTTAATTATCAAAGCAAAATCAATTGATGAAGGACAAGAAAAATATATTTTTACACCACGTTTTATGACAATGACTGAAGAAGATTTACTAAGAGCAGTTCATACAAAAAATCAAGTAGAAGAAGAAATAATGTTATCAGATTATTTTGCTTCTATGGA